CCCCAAAACCCCAAAACCCCAAAACCCCAAGTTAGAGATTCCAAGCATTTTAATGATAATTGAAAAAGATAGATTGAGTAGCAATTATTAGTTCTTAAAATAAGATATTACAATATAAGCGAAAAAAGTCATCTATTTACAAGTGGATGATCGATTAAATTTTAAGGTATCACCGAAAACTTCATTGAATTTCTGGGTGATTTTCATCTGCCCTACTGCTGCTAATGCACACAGTAACTCACTACTGATTGAATGATCTTTGGCGAGAGGAGATGTTCTTGCTATACTGATGTTGTTGGCATTACTCATTGGCACCAGCGCTAGCAAGGACCTCACTGCCAAATGCATTACTAGGATAATTTCTATTTACATTTTCCTATTATATACAACCATAATAGTAGTCCTGATTGAACTACTTTTGAATGCTGCCCATAAGGCCTCCAAAGTATTGGCATGGTTGGGTCATATTTTTGGTCTGCTTATCAGGAGATTCATTGATCTCGAAAGCAAACTGCTAATTTTACAAGTATGGTTTTTAAGAATAATTGGCTGATTGAGCTTAGAATTAAGAGCACTATGAAGAGTTTGCTACAACCAAATTATTATTAATTCCTTAATTAGTGATTTATGAGAAGCATTATAATCTTTTGGTGTTGAATATGTTCAGATACTTAATGTCACTCTCCCTTCCATAAAACTCTCTGGCACTCAAGTGAGCTTGCATACTCTGAAAGAGATTTTGAGTGAGGATATCTGAGTAGGTAGGATTTAGTTGAGGTTGAAGAACTTAAGGATTCTGAGGGTTCTTCAAGAATTCTGATTCCTGCTAGTCTGACGCTTTCTGCGGAATACTATGAATGAACTAGCATCTGATTCCATAAGGACAGTACAGCTCCTCTTGAAATTTCTTACACATTCTAGTTTTATACTTTGAGGGCAGATCAATCTTAGTTTGCAGTTACCTCTGGCCATGAGCGAAAGAGCACTAAAATTGGTAAAATCATGAAAAAATTTACTCTGTCCCCGAATATGCAGTTCCCTTCAATTTCCCAATTCTTGCAAAGTTCAGTCTTGTACTTATGAAGGAAAGGGGTAGATGGCACAACCGAGATCTAGTTGGAGCCTTGAGATGCTAATTCCTCTGAGCCAATTGTGTCCTGATTTTCCAATAATTGAGTTTAAAATGTCCCGCTTTTTGGGCTGTGAATTCCAAGACTCAATGTTGTGCTCTCAGAACTAGATCTTGTGCGCATGTCAGCTTGATAGTTTATGTTGCCAGTAGACTTCTGGGTTTAGGTGTACACGAAGTAGTCCTCTGAAACATCAGACTAGACTTACTTCGGAGTGAATGGCAAACTAGGATTATCATCAAGTCGCTGATTTGATGTGGAATATTTTCTAATTTTAGAGCCTGTACTAAAATATGGACTTGATGATATGTTAAGCTGATTGATCATTTTATAATTTAAATTTATAAATCCAAACTTATTCACCTCCCAAAAAATTATACCACTATTTTAAGATCAACACTTGGGGTTTTGGGGTTTTGGGGTTTTGGGG